AATTCCATATCTCTGTAACTAAACATACAATGTTACATAAAACTGTGAGCATTTCAGGGGATTCAAAAATATATTATATATTTTTCCATTACTTTTAGCTTTCTGGAAAAATTGATATTTTCTTATCCCATGATTGGCCAGCAGGAGTAACAAGATATGGAGATGAAGACATGTTATTGAGACGGAAACCATTTTTTAAGTAAGTTGATGAAATTTTAGATATTAATACAAAATTCTTTTATATTGAAATATAATAGATATATTTTAATTGAATGTTGAGATTGATGTTGAATTATTATATTATTAAATTTGGTTTCTTTTCAGGGATGACATAGAAAGCAATACGCTTGGTAGTCCTCCATGCATGGAATTATTAGAACGTCTTTATCCGTCCTACTGGTTCTCCGCACATTTGCATTGCAAGTTTGCGGCGCTCATTCCCGAGAAAGGAGGAGCACGAGTAACGAAGTTTTTAGCGCTGGACAAATGTTTACCGAAACGGAAGTTCCTTCAAGTATTGGAAGTGCGTTCACATGAAGACGGTCCAATACATTTGAGTTATGATCTAGAATGGTTAACGATATTATATTTGACGAATCATTTGTTAAGCGTCAAAAACAGTATTCATTATATGCCCGGTCAGTACAGCACCGGCAGATGGACATATATACCTACGGCAAAGGAGAAACAGACCGTGCATGAGAAGTTCGGCTCCAATTTGCGGATTCCTCTTAATTTCACACGAACAGTTAAACCGTATGATCCGTACGACATGAATACTCGAGTCGAACGGCCGCAACTATTGATAAATGATCAGACTACCCGATTCTGTCAAACACTGGGCATCGATGATCCTTCCGCTTTATTGCAGATTATCTCAAACACGAAGGATAATAGCAGATCGAATGATATGTCAATGGAAACATCTGGCGAGTATATGTCAGAATCCATGGATATTTCGTTCGAAGAGGAAAGCATGTTCAGCTCCACTTTTGAGAATTCAACAAACAAATATTTTGTTGATAGTTCACCGACGAACTTATCCCTTAAAAGCGACGATTCGGAAAATGGAGACACGAGTAAAAGCACTTTGGATGGAACTACTAATAATTCAACCATATCTGCAGATTCTGCGATGGAGGACAGTAAGTAACGTTATTATGAGGCAGCGAATAACTTTATTTATTAAGTGTTGAATAAAATAAAGAACTCTTTCAATGAGGAGTTTTGAAATAATTAAATGTTACTATATTGTATGTTTCAGATAATGAACAAACCGATTGTATTTCACCCGAGCCGATCTGCAAAAAATTTAAACGTCGGAATTATTCTGTATACTCTAGCACATTCTAACTGTGATAGTGTTTCCCTATTAGATCCTTGTGTCTATTCACATTTGTTTCCGTGTTGAATTTTTTTGTATTATACCTAATCTGTAAATAATAAGGATTTTTTTATGATTGGACATATGTATATATATATGTATATATATATGTAGTTTGAAAACTTCCAAAATAATCTATTATTATCCTTGTTGATTTTTATTAATCAGAGATTTTTATCAAGTACAGAAAATTTCCTTCCTTAAAACCTTGCAAATTTATCATTTTATAATCTTTTAAAACTTCTTGGCTCACTGCAATCATCCTAAGTTATGACGTCAGCGAGAAAATATGAAAAATATATTAACATTCCTCAATAAAATATAATTTGCAATCATTAAAATAAATTTATAAAATATACTTTTGCTTTGATAATCAATAAATAATCATATTTAGAAACAAATTATGTCTAATTTTAAGTCAATACATTTTTAATTATCTAGTTATTAAAGCAAAAGGGAAATATTTTCGATATATTTTACAATTCTATCAGTTATAAACGTTATTTTATATAAAAAATATATTTTTATTTTAATGTGTTGCAAAAATCTATCATCTTTTTATAACATTTTCTTATTTGTTAATTATATATCGTTAATATATTTAATAAGCTTCAACCTCATACAGCACAAATCTCCATCGGATGTTTTAAAGACGTTCAGAGAATGTTTCCGAGACATTTCTCGGTATAAAGTGTGCTAAATGAGATATCATTTATCACGTAAATAAGATTTAACGAAAGAGGATATACACAAAATTGAATTCAAAAGCAAAACTATCGATCTTTAAACGAGATAAAAAATCGAATCTTCGATTTTTCGATTAATCGAACGTTACTCGTCCTGCTTCAGCGTGATTGTCACGATCAGTAAACGCGCTGAATCTTTGACTTGTTTACATTCGATTTATGCGTGTTTATTGTAAACAATGGCATTTGCGCATCCCGGCCCGCGATCGCCGGTATATAATCGCCTCGAGAATTAACAGTGAAGTGTCACGACGCGTAAATATGGTGGCAGGTAGCCGTGCTCCGAACAACGTGCCAACTCTTCATCTCAATCCCGCTTGTCGACTATCTTGAACGCGAAGGATGGACAAGTTGACTATCATCTCAGTAATACTCTTTCTGCTCGCGGACATCTCTGCCATAATCAGTATCGCCATGCCGGACTGGATCATTACCGATGTCGGCGGTAATAGCGAGAGAGATGCAACTTTCTTTCTTCTTACTTCTCTCACTTATTCTGAATTTCTCGCGCATTATTTCTTTGAAATCTTGGTTGATTTAAATGTCGCAAATCAATGTAAACTCGCACAGTGTTTGGAGAAGTTCTAACTCTGTGTTTCTTTTTTTTTCTCCTAACAGGTGACACGAGATTAGGTCTTATGTGGTCATGCATGACCTTGTACAACAGACCGCAGGTGTGTTACAAGTCGGACCTTCATTCGGAATGGATGATGGCACTAGTCTGCATATTTATAGGTTGCATTTTAATTACGGCGACCATAATATTAATGGTGATTTCACACTGGGACCGTACAGTCATTCCCTTTGCACGCTGGGTAGGATTCGCCGCCAGTATGTATCATAAGAACATATGATATTTAATCTAATAAAACGTTATAATAAAATAATTAATATGCAATATACATTGTACAATAATATTTCTATCATTCGAGAAGTTGCAAAACATCATCACTTCATAATACATTCATATTACATTTGATAATTTTTAATAATAAATATTAGTGCGAAAAAATTTACAATCGTTATATTATGATGTACATTAATGATATATTATTGATATAATTAAATTGCAGTGGTGCTATTTTGTAATGCAGCAGTTATATTTCCAATGGGATTCTACATTGACGAGATTGGTGGGCAACCATATCAATTGCCCAATTCACATCAAGTTGGGATCGCTTATATTTTGTTTGTCTTAGCTTTATGGATCACAGTAATCTCTGAACTTTTTGCAGGCAAAGTTTGTCTACCACATTTTTAGCATTGTTCTGTAGCGCAAGTATTTGTTAATTATATTCTGTTAACGTTTACGCTTATATTATTTAGTATCGTTTACATTAATGATATATAAAATTATTTTTATTTTATGATAATTTTACAAAGCTTTAAAAAAGGGTTGTATCAAGTTTTGCTATATATCTTAAGATTGAAATATAATAAGGATCTATTAATTTCTATTATTTAATAAATCTAGAAAATATATTGTATAGTTCTAAAAATTTATTAAATTATTATAAAGTCATATTAATATCTGCTCTTAAGTATGTATTGGCTATATAATTTTCGCAAAGTTTTATATATATATATGAAAATTGAATATTATATATATATATATAATATTCTAATTTTTTAGCATGTTTGGATTTCTTAAAATTAATAATAGTTTTAAATGTGTAAATTTAAAGTAATTAAATATTTTTGATAATTATTAATAAGATTTCAAGCTATTTATGCATATTCTCAATTTTGAAGTTAAAGGTTTTAAACATAACTATAGTCATATAATCTTCAATAAATCATAAATTTAAACAAGATGTCATAAAAAATATGATAGTTATATTCATATTTGATATGCAAATATGATAGTTACTATTCATATTTGATATGCAAATTTTGTCATTTTTTGGCACTGAATTAATTTTGAATTGTTATAATTAATATTTTTATAAGGTAAAAGCATTTTTTTTTTAAATTGCTTTTAGAATCTTTAACAAGCGATATACAAATACAACATACAATATTTAGCCAATACAACTTAAGGATATGTGAAGTTTATGAGTAATGTATATAACACAGTAAAATTTCAAACGGTAACTCAAGGGAAAACAAATAGAACTTCGTACATTTATGTATATATATATAGATATATTTCTTAGTCTTGATTAAACTTTGTATAACATATGTACAGTTTAATTTTTGTTATAAATTTCAAATTTTTATTTACAAAACCAAAAATAAATGGAGGTATTATGTTTAATGTATAGTTAAATCCAAAACTTAGGATATTCTTACACTTATCTATATTATAAATATATATCCTAAGTATAATAGATAAGTATGTGTGTATATATATATATATATATATATATATATATATATATATATTGTACGAGTTTTGTAAGAGAACTAAAATATATGATTTTACTGATTTTTCAAAATGTTATTTAATAATAAAACTTGTGCTGCAAATAAATAATAATTTATTTGCATATGAGGAAAACAATTCATCGGATATATTATAAAGTAATGAAATATTGTAATACAATTTAACATAATAATCAGTAAAGAAATCTTGATGAATACTTCAATTTTAAAAACTAATATCTGACAATATTGTATATATATCTAAGTAATATTAAATATAAAATAATAATTATACATATAATCTTCCTGATAAGTCTTTATCTCAGTTCTTGCCAGTTCTTTATCTCAATTATTAAAATGAATTTAATATGTTTAATGAAGAAGAAATCTATATAGATTTAGTCAAATAGAATGCATGCATATGAGTTTTACTAAATGACTTGAAAACATTATTAAATATAAAAATGACATTAAAGAACAAATGGCAAGTTGAAATTGATTTTCACTGTACAGGAAGATTATATAGAAAAATAATCTACATATAATAATTACTTTTATATTTTATACATATCTTGTCACAAACTTGAAAACTTTTTACATTTGCTTTCCTCTTTGAAATTGAAAAATTAGTAACATTTGCATTAACTTTACTTGCAAAAAAAATTAATGTACACACACATACACACACAAACATACACAAGACGCATTCTTACAAACTGTACGTATAAAGCATCAAATATATATATATATATATATGTATATAACATTTTTTAGATTCACTAGAAAATGTGAATCTAAATCGGAACACTTGAGCCTTAATATTGCCTACATTTACTTTAGGATTTTGAGGGAAAACTATGTATACAATGTGTAATAACAATTTTAATAGAAATATTTCATGGAAGTATATAGAGCAGATTTCATGTATATTATTTCTACTTTCAACACTATTGTAGATAATATAAAAGCTCTCTTTATTTAAATTTCTATTTAGATATAAATATTAACAAGAATTTTGAAATAGTAAAAAGAATTTTTTTTGTTCCATTACAAATGGAATATATTTTTGTCTATATAAATTTTTATACAAATTTTTTTAATTTATTTTTACATTATTTGATTGGTTATTACCAATCGTGTCACATCTTCTATAATACAATAAATAAGGTACTCTAGGCGATGTGGGCCTGAGTACACTGCTTTCTGGGACACTCTTCACAGTACTGTCATCGTACCTGACCCAGGATCCATATCCCACGTGGAAGGCATCGGTGAAGTAATGTCCTTTGGTAGCCTCTTTCCCATCGTGGTACGTCACCGCAAATAATTTATACTGCTTTTGTTTAGGACTCAATTTCTTCGCAGTATTCGGTGATAAAAATTCTGTAAAAATTAATTTTACAAACACATTTTTTTTATCTCATTAAACCATAAAAATTAAGATAAGGAAGATAGAAATTAAGATAAAGTAAAATTGAGCAAAAAAAATCGAAAATTATATTATTATAATATTTAGGTACATTTAGTATTGGAAAACAAATTATTTAAAGTGGAAAGTAGAAATATTTTATACAAGTTATTTCTGCTACTGTATTATAAATGGATGCTTTGAAATAATTGCTTAAAATTCTACCTAAAATATGTAATTTTACAAATTAGAAATAAAACTTTTTTAAATTATTTCAAATATTCTTTTTAAATTATGTTTTAAATAATGTTTTGTATATATTGTACTATTATATACTATGTATATTATGTATTATACTGGACATTATATAATAAATATATTATCTATCATTATCAAAGAAAATAAAAATTTTCAAATATTATTTTATTTGAATAAAATTATTTAAATTATTTTTAATAGTTGTTTTTGATTTTGATACTTACTGCCATCAATTTTCAAGTCGACGGGGAATTCCATACTCTTCAATATCTTGGAACAGCCATTGCAATACTTGTCGAATTTGTATACGAACCATTTCAGATGTAATATGAGAATCACAGGTAATTCTTCTAATGTGACTTGTTTCCAAGCTTCTATCTGTTGTCTCGTCTTACTGCAGGTTAAACCTTCTACTTGATCCTTGCCAACGAGAAGCTCAAGAGCATGTTTCACAGATTCAGCTTTCTGCAACAAATTATATCATATTAGATATCTTATACATAATCATACTATAAATCAATTCATTCAAAACTTTTAAAATACTAACTTGAACATCAAGCTGTAGTGTGAAAAATGGTTGTACATTATCCGTTGGCTGTTCTCCTGCTCTTGATACTCTGGATCGTAACTGTCCACGGAAGATATCGGATAATGGTGTTCTTCCAAATTCTGTACATCGTGTAACGGCGCCTTTATTTTTTGGTCCCATTACCTATATTAAGATAGAAATAATGTAATGAATAAATAAAGAAATATAAAAGAATGTAATGAACATAAATCTGATTCAAAAATATAATAAAAACATAATACTCTTGATAAAAAATTTCGAAAATGTTTTGTGATAAATAATTTTGTGATAAAAATCTACAAGAACTACTAACATTCTAAAATAATAGATATTGATAAGAAAATTTTTTAAACATTTTTTTTAGTAAATATCTTACCTGCCATTCCTCTTCATCCTGATCACAAGTGATACTATTTTTTGCGTCACTGGTTGTATTTTGATCATTGTTAACTAATTTCATTAGCTAGAAAACAAAATAATTATCATAAATCTTTTTATGTTGTAAAAAATAAGAGGATTACTACATTATGTTCTCTTTAGTAACATCTTTCTTATAGAGAGATATATATCTCTGAGAATGAGATATATGAGAAAAAACTTTAAGAATATATGATATATACACACATACACACATACCTCTAACATTTCATCATTAAGTCCATTTAAAAGACAGGATAAGAATTCTTCTGCATCTTCCTGTCGTCCTTCTACAGAAAAACCACCAGCAGCCGAAGCATGTTTTAACATAGTATATACATATGACGGTTCAAATGCAACGCCGCTATATATGTCCATAACAGTGTCTTCTCCTCGTTTATGAACTCTATCTTTCCTGGGCATACGGGCGGCCTCTGTCAAGGGTGTAAATTCACGAACAAACTTGCACCTTTTAGCGAGAAAAAATAATTTTATGATACAATTTATAAACAAATAAATATATGTAGAGAGATATATGCAGTATATTCAATAGAAAATAAGACTGATTTAGACTTTACATGATCGAATAAGATTTTTAGTAGATTAATATAATTTTTAAATTTATTGAATAAATTCTAGAGAATATTTGACCTTTGTGGATAACTATGTTATTTACCTATGATTTTTGAAATGTAATAGATATATTTTTTTCAAAATAGCTATATTTTTCCCTCATTAATTCGATTATATAAATAAAAGCAGTTAAAAATTTTTTTATTGCGAAAAATATTACTTCACCTATGCTTCAAATTTGGATCACTTTAGTATCAAGACAGGTGTTTGAACCAACTGACTAGTAAAGATATGTTATAATATTTATCACAATAATTGGATAGGTAAACGAGAAAGAACGTCTCTATCGGCTAATATATACTTATAATAAACAAATATAACAAATATAAATATGTAAACCAGTATGCTTCATAGAAAATAGATAACTCAGGCATTATATGATCAGAATTTTTAGCACCTATTTTAATTTTTTAATTATTAAATTTATTAAAAATAAATTATTAAAAATAAATAAAAAAACATCTAGCCTTCATTAATATATTAGTTTTAACTATATTATTTTTATAACATCTATAGAAAAGCGTTTTCTTAAGTAATTTGAATATTATTATAATTATTTACATGTTATCAATCAATGGCGTAGGAGAACTTTTGCCTCGATTTTTAGGAAGTGGCAAAGCATCGAGGAGATTATAGAATGGTGGACAAGCAAGTAAAGCTTGTAAAATACTATTGATATAACAATAATTGCTGCGATTTGTCAATCCTCTTGGTAATAAGCTTACTGTTTGCTTATCCATTTGATACTTCGTCAAAAATTCTAAAAAAGAATATTAAAAAAAAATTTGTTAATTAATGGATATTGATATCAAGACTTTATCATTTAAAAATTTATGAATATATTGAATATAAACTAGAATCGTCGTTTTTACTTACCACCTATCCTATATGTATTGGGATCATAACAATTCTGTAATATGCCATTTAAAGATTTGAAAACATCTACTGTATTTAGTGCGCCAGATGAATCGTTCTGATTTTCTGGCGTGCAAATAGGACTATTTGATTCTTTTTGTATTGGCATTTTTGGTGATTCTACATGTGCTGTGGATTTGCATGATGAATATGGCTGTGATTCAGTACTATCTTTCCTCAGAAGACTAGCATAGGACCTGGTAAATGTAGTCGTAGGTGGTGTTCTAGATACAGGTGATGATGATAAGGGAGTATTTGGTATGGTTGACGAGTCATTTGGCATGGCTGAAAAGTTGTTTGGCATTTTAATGATAATCTTGTCTTGGATATCCTTTGGGGCAGAACTTTCTTGAATCTGCGCTTCTTTCTTCTCTGTTTTGACCGAGATGGATTGAGGCGAAATTTTCGTAGTGATCGTTGTGATATTAGATACAGTTTCATTTTTAAATTTCTTATTTTCCTCACTATTTTGGTTTGTCTTGACATCATTGTTAGTATTTACACGTGGCACATCAACTTTCTCCATACCATTACATTTCTCATTTACAACGCTTACAATAGTCTGTTGAACTTTTGCATCAATTTTTTCACTGCTAGTTATATTCTTTTTATTGGCAGTGTTTTCATCTACATTTTTCAAAGAAGACTCTGATGTGGAATTATTTACAGTAGTAGTATTAATGACATTACTTTGTAAAGTATCTTTATCTTCCTTTACTGGATGCGTTGATTTATCAGAAGCATACGTGCTTTGTGCACGAGCATCTTGGGACTCAATGATTGGTTGTTTCATCGGTTCTTGATTTGATTGTTGGGATAGCACAGGTTGCTGTGATTGTCGCATGCATCCATCTATCTGCGGCGGTTGATGATTCGGTTGAGGATAAATCGATTGCGAATCAGATGAAATTGACTGTGCATTTGGATGCGGATGAAGGTTCGTTGAATACATTGGCGATGTATAATAGATCTGTCCGCCACCTACTTGATGCTGTTGTGTAGAGACGGAATGATGCTCAGGATATATGTACATGATAGGTATCTGCTGATGATATTGTGCTTGATCGCCCATATATCCCGATTGTACTTCATTAACGGGATTAAGTGTTCGATTATAATTATCTCTCCTTATACCTCTGCCACGACTATTACGACGTCCGTTCTCTCTAACATAATTCATATCTTGAATCTCGGTGCCGAGATTGTATGCAGGATGAGTATAAGTAATTCCAGATATAAACGGCGGTATTTGGCCGTTCGCGGAAACATTGTATATTGGTTGCCAATCATTACACATTTGCGGTATCATTTGTTGCGGATAACTGGGTGCCGGCATAGCTACACATAAGAAGATAAAGATTTCAGCATTTTATAAAATTTTTATTTAAAATGTGCGAACATTAAATTTTTATTTATATCATATTGACTAACTAATATTACGTTTGATTATTGTATTAATTTAATTTATATTTTTAAAAACAGTAGAGTATCATATTAACATTTTGACAAATAATTTTTCAAATTGTATATATAAAAATTACATATTATAAAAAATATATTATAACAACATATTATAAAAAATCATACAAAAATATAAGAAAAAATTTGTTTAATAAAATTTATAATAAACAGTAGAGTAAATAAAATATTTACCATTATACCACTGATGTTGCTGAAGGGTATTTCTCTCGGATACTTCTGTCATTACGACAGAATTAACATTATTGTTATTACTTTCTACCTTCTTAGCGTCCCATGGTAGTTTCACGGTTTCAGTAATGTCAGATTTATTAATGAGGTTCATTAAATGACGTTTATCATTGTCAGTTAAACCATGAAAATCTAAAAACTGAAGAGTCATCTGAAAACGAAAAGATAAACATCCACGTATAGATGACAAATATTATTAAAAATTACAGTAAATTTTTATATAATGCGTATTCCTATAATACAGATTTTTAATAAAATGTTTGCAGTACAGACCCCATTAAGCTGGAGTTCTACCGACAAATCAAGTTCACAACCATCAAAAAATTTAATGTTAATTTTTTATATTTATGTGTTAATTTTTTGTTCTAATCTGAATTTTGTTGCATAAACTATTTAGCAGGAAATCATATTCATCACTAACTTGTAATTGTGTTGGATCTTTCATAATAAAAAAATATAAGCGTGTCGTATTAAAGAACAAGAATAGAATTTGTTGTTAATTTGTTTTTCTAATTTGTTTCTCTAAGCGCAAAATATTTTTGAAACTCAACATTTTTTGCAAAATATCATTACAATTAAAGTATTGCACAGTCATTAAAATATTGCACAGTATTGTTTAGAAACACTATAAGCCACAGCCAACAAATAAACACTTTCCTAAAACATATTTACGTTAAAATGATTTAACAATAAACGCAATTTATAAAAATATAAATTACATAATAACATTGCTTGAGCACAAAATGTCAAAAACGTGATTAGATCGTGACATCTCACGGCAGACTAAATTGTTCTGATTTAAGATAAAATAATTTGTCGCTTGGATGAATTTAATACTAAATTATTTTACTTAACTATTTTACGGATTATAAATTTTCAAAATATGACAAATTTTAATTTTGTTGCTTGTTTTAAAAGATCGAACAATTTCTGACTGTTTAGATGAACAATAAATTCGAATTCGAAAATTTTTAATGGTAAAGATAATTAATTGCATTTATCTTAGAAAAGCAATTTCATTAAAATTTAATTCATAATGTGATACCAATAATAATTCAATATAAAAATAATAACATTTTATTAATCAAACTTAAAAAAAATTTATGCTTTGTTTTAAAATAAAATAAAAGTTATTTTGTATAATGAAAATTCATTGGAATTTATCCTGAGTTATATGCTAAGTGTGTATTATATAGTATAACATAATTTTTGAAATAATTAAAAATCAATTTTTAAATTGTTAATTGTCAATGTTTTTAAATAATTTTTATTTTTAATTAATTAAGGGCAATCCTTTAAAAATATTTTGAAATATTTTAAAAATATTTATTTGTAAAAAAATGTTACAAATATTAAGAACTTTGGTAATTAAAAAACGAAAAAAATGCGGTTAAATTTTGTATTTTTCTCTAATTTTTTCATAAAATTTATACCTACGTTATACAATACATTTCATTAGTAAAGGAAATATTTCAAAAGAATTCAGCATACCTGCCTAAATTGACAGTTTTCAAAATCTTTTGTACTTACTATCATTAATCAAAACTGTTTTCCTAAAAGAGAAAGTAAGAAATTCTCTTTGGATACGATTTAATATGGCTATTACTAAAGAATTTGTTAGAGAAGACAAAGAATGTTATAAATAACCAGATAGTTAATTGCAGACATAAGTGCAATATAATTAAATATTAATGATATAGAACTTTTCATAGAAATTTTTTTCTTTTAATTAAAATTTTTCGGTATTGTATTTCAATATTTTAAAAAAATTTAAATATTATTTCTAATAAAAGTTTAAATTTCTTCTTAATTTCTATTATTATATGCAAGATTAAATCAAACAATAAATAAGATGCATTCTGCATGAAATTATATTCAAAGATTCTATTTATCTTTTTCTCTTTCTTTTTTCACAGATAATAAATATTGCAATTAGGACTTCTCGATGATATATTTTATGATCCTTGACAATTTTGTGCTCAATAAATACATGTTGTTACGATAAAAATCTATTGTAAAATTTTAAAAGCAATCTTTTTAAACATTTTTCTATAGTTTTATTACAACTTCTCAAGAACAAATAGATATTGAGATATTTCCTTTTTTAAATTTTGGTAATTAAAATATTCAAATTTAATTATTAAAAATAGCT